GCAGTGGGATGATGTCCTGGGCAGCAGTGGGATGATGTCCAGGACAGCAGTGGGATGATGTCCTGGGCAGCAGTGGGATGATGTCCTGGGCAGCATTGGGATGATGTCCTGGGCAGCAGTGGGATGTCCTGGGAGTTTCCATGCGGGCCCAGTGTTGATGGTGCACCTGAGGCCAGAGGCCTGTGGAGCAATCAGTATTAAATGGAATGTCTCCATCGAATCCTCTGAGACTCAGGGAATGCTGTGGAAGATGAGGCAGAAAGACTGTAAGAGCCAGAGGGATTGGAGGACACCAAGAAAACAGTGTCTTCAACATAAACCAGACTGTCATGTTGTCCTTTTTTTTTAAACGGTTGCTGCTTTTTAAGCCATGGCTGTCCGAATCAGCAACTGCACCTCCACTTCCACCAACAGAGGTTAGGCCACAAAAGCCGCAGCCCGAGGAAATGTTGGTCCCTCAAGCATCAACTCTTTCAAAGCTACAAAAGGAAGTTAACTAAATCTCTGTCCCTCTGAAGAACTCAAGATTCACCGGTTGAAGTAGAATTCTGCTCCTCAGAGAGGCTGAATAGCAAGGACAACACTGACACACACAAGAACTCACAGCGACTGTGGCAGTGAACTCAAGACCAGCACAGCTCCAAGCCAAGTCGGATCCCAGAAGCAGGAGGGAGAAGTGTCCATGGGTCCCCACCTTTAACCAGAAGCTATTGGCCCAAGAGATAAATCCATTTTCTCCAATGGAGTGTCACTAAGGATGTCTGAGTTTTAAATTGAGTTCCTTTGTATGGATAAATGTAGATCTCAGAGTGATAAAATCGATCAACACTCATTATTTTCTATCCTGCCTATGCTTGTTGTATGTAGGCTCATGTTGCTTTGGGCAGGCTTTTTATACTCCAACAAATGGAACCATGAAAAGGACGTGATAGCCTTGATCAGCTTCCTGAGCTTGCAACTTCAGGGCAATCCAGAAGGATAAGAGTGTCCACTGCCTGCAGTTGCTCCTAGGAAATGAGAGGGAAATAGAGAAATACAATGATGTACCTTCCAAGGCCACCTTCCCGGGAAGCCGTTAGCATGATCATGTGGAGTTCATCCTCCACAGTCCTGGCTCCTGGGGCCAGCCCTGGCTCTCCTGTAGAAGTCCTGGTCTCTAGAATGCAATATCACCTTTCACTGTTTCACCTAGACCATCACCCTCCTCTTACTGCTGCCCTCTGGGAATGAATTCTGATGTAATACCAACAAGTAAATATCATTTCAAAGTTTGCTTTAGAACAAACCCAAGCTATCACAGTGCATTTTCTACCAGTTTAAGCAAAATTTTACTTGCACTTGAAAGAAAAAACTTCTACCTATTCATGCATCCTTTATTATTTTCAGAAAACTTTTTTCAGAAAAGTGTAAAATTTCAATATTCTTAAAATGACTTTTATAGCTAACTCTATGGTCACAGTAGATTAAATGTAATTTTTATATTCAATCCCCCACAGAGGTGTTTGCCAAGCTTGCAAAAAATAGCAAATATATATATGCTATCTCTGCACCAAAAAGTTTGAATGCCGGCCTCCTGCCTCTGCACTGAGAGGATAGAAACCCCGTGGGAATTTCAGCTGACAGTACTTTATCCATGGATTCACCCAGGATCTTCTTCTATTTTTATTTTCAGTGTATGCATTTAGTATTTGACAACCATGAGGGCAAACATTCAGGGTTATCTACTTTTGAGAAAATGCCTTTCAGTTATCAAATAGTAAAGAACAATCAAATAGTGACAAAGAGCCTTTGAATTAAAATAATTTCTTATAATAATTTGCATCAATTTTTGAATATTCTCTTGCTATTAATTTTGTAATCACCTGATACCTTCTGTCAATTTTAATCACAGTTGTTAACTTAGAGGTTCATTTAGAACTCACTGTGTTTTAGAAACTTAAAAGTTGGTATAGATGCCTCCATTTGTTCACTGGTACAATTGGTTGCCCAGTGAGGTGTGTTGGAGTCACCACTAGTGAGGAGCTTAGATTGAAGTGAGGGTAAAGATCCCACACAACAAATACATAAATATCAAGACAGGGGGTTGTTTAGTATGGGCCCGCCATTCATGTGGCAAAATTTAGTTCCACTTACACAAATTCTTTGTGTGTAGAGAATGGGAAGGGTTTCCAGAATTCATCTACAACACTATTCAACAAATGCATCT